GCTTGTGATCATTGCGTTTAACCAACGAAACAGGGCGAAAAATCAGTCACATGACTTTGGGGCAGATTTTCGAAAGCTTAACCTATCAGCAACAAAGCGAAATTTACACGATAGGCTAACTCAAACTGTCAGTTACACGACTGTGTATGTCACTTAAGCCACTCCTATTTGGCATTTTAGTTATGGAGGCGAGAAGACGCCCCCCCTCTGGGTGCCTGATTTGCCGCCATCTTTAACCGCTTTGTGTCCAAATCGCAGTAGCTACGCGTACGAAATAAAGTTCATCCCAGCTACAAAACATATATATTTTTGTGGTAAGAGGGAGCAACACATCAGTATTTACTGCTATTAATTAGTGTACGATTTATAGTTGAAATCTGAGCCTAAATATAAAGTTAAAATCTCGACAAAGCAATGTAGGAAATACAGAGAAAATAAATCCTTTCTGACATCTAAAATCAATTTCAATCAAGGTCTCTAAAACGAACAAGAAAAAGAGGATTATCGGAGGGCAATTACGCTGTATTTACAGTATATAGAATAAGTGATTTATGAGCAATCTAATTTCTTGTTCATTTAAAACAGTGAAATGTCAGCTGCAAAAGATCGCACCAGTGTATATTTTGTGGCAGAGTTGCTGCAAGATGTTAACAGTGAAAAAGGTATTTAGAAATTAGTTATTTCAAGATGAAACTTTTCAGAATAATTGCAAATCTAGCAGGATAGAGAAAGCACAGAAAACTGGTCGTTAGATTGATCAGATTAGTATGAAAAGTCATTTAGCAAAGGGAATGAGAAGAGTGACAAACTAGTATACTTTAGATCTTTTTTTCTGAACCAGGGAAAATCTGATCATGTTTCCCTATAACAATAATAAATATATCACCAATAAAGGTGGCATCTCAAAGCAATACAGTAGATGTAAAAACAGATAAAAGGACCACAGATTACAAAGTAAATGCATATAAGAAAGACAAGCAGTTAGAGGTGCTACCAAAATTGGAAAATGAAGCAGATACAGGCCCTAAGTCTTCTGAAAAGAAAGGTTCTGAGGTTAGTTTTAAATGCACTCAGGTTACGTGACTGATATCACTGGGAATACAAATTGAGAACTCTGGGGTGCAGCTAGAGAAGACCCTGTCACCCACAGAATGTAGATGTTCTTGAGGACAG